ATGTCATAAAGGAGAGAAATTTTCACTAATGACCGAAGATATGCTCAGCCGGGTGACATGTCCAACTAAAACGCCGAGTTCCTTCACACAGTTTCCCAAAATATTGGGTCTCTTTGTCATTTTATCGGCCACTTTACTTCGCTAGGTTTTAATAAACGGCTTTATGATGTTTCTCAGCTAAGTTGCATAGCGTTGTTGCGCTCGCGTGCTGGTTTCTCCGCTATTTGCATATCATTTCATTTATTTTTTGTCTCTGCGTATTCTTTCATATATTTTTTTTTCAGTAGAAATATAGACTGTTCTATGATTACTGTGATTCAAGCAGATAAACTTACAATAGAAGCAAAGCATGGGTAGTCACGTAATAAAAATTAGTCATATTATGCATATTATTGAGATGCTATCGCAATCTTTGGTTTCGTAATTTCGTGAATGCCATCGGTTAAATTTCGCGTTGTATTCACTTTTCGGTTTTATGTAATGGACCACTTATCCCCAGCTTCATGAATAATATCTTAAAAATGAATATGACCAGTACCTAGGTTACCAAACCGACGATCGAACATGACCAACGGTCTGAATACGGATGTATTAACACACAGCGTTGAGCAGTTAAGTGCAGTGGCAACTCATGCCGGACCGTACTACCTTAAATATTTACATTTCAGAGACCGTAATAATGACCGTTTGTCCATTAAATGATGAACTGATTTGTTTCAACGAGAACTTGAAAAACGGTGTGACAATGGCCAGGTTTAAAGGACAAGTGGATAGCGTTCCTGAAGTGCCAGTCGACAACCAACGTAAAAGTGCACCTGTGTACATAACTGGAACACTGGGTCATGCGGTTAGCAATCGACGGACAAAGACACTGGTCAACAGGTAGCAGCGGAGCCACGCAGTCTGGCACGTTCGGTTCCCATGTGACCGTGGTCAGCGCCAGCTGGCCATCGTCCACGTACATTAGCGGCCGATAGTAGCCATCGGCGCGATGCACACGTGTTGATCTAGCGACTGTAACGGATCTGTGCCTCAACGACAACAATTGTGAAATACGCCAGACTAGATGCCATTGCTTATAGAATCTGTGTGGCAGCAGTTGTCGAGCAAAGAATATGTGTTCGATTATTTTAAACTTCGCACCAACCTAAAGCCCATAGCCAACAGGCTTTGCGGAACTTTACACCGGATGTGACGCGTTTCCACATCGATCGATGCGTCATCACTGGGATATCCTTGTGCTGGTCGTCGTCGTCGCTTATCGTTTTGGGATCTCGACTGCTGTTGAAGGCACAACTCAATCTTATGTGATGACCTTAAAAGCCGAAGATCTGAGCAAGCAGCAGTTGACCAATTTCAAAACTCATCTCTTGCGCTCGGTAGGCCTGGCAAAGCGACCCCCTCGTCGTTCCATCAGGCCAATCGTCATCCCGGATTATTTATGGACCATTTACAAGCTGATGTCGAATGACGAAGAGCACTGGGCCGATGATGACCAGATGACCGAGAGCCACGAGCACAGAGTCGTTAACTTCAACACTGTTCGCACCATCATCCCTCAAGGTAACTATATACTGGCATTACTGAAACTAACGAAAGAATAAGCTGAGGCTAAACTGAGGAGAGTTTTGTCCTGGTGAGATACAACAGTTCCGCATGGCAAAAGTTTCGCAACCCTCATTCTGCAAAGACAATCGGTATTTATCACCAGGGTATTTCCCTCATGATCTTCCGATGTCACTGTAAAAAATACATTCTGAGCTCTCCTAAACTTAGATTATTTAAACTGTAGCAACGACTTGTACAGTGGAATGATATGGCGAGGACAGAACGACTGTACAAAGTTTGAGCGATGCATTTCCTCCGGATGTCCCAGATCTTGAATATCGATATAGGGTATAATTTATGTTCGCTTTCTGACATCGCCCATGAAGTATCATTTGTATATTTCGTTAATCTAGTCACTGAATCGCTATTCACCGTTCAAAGGGTGGACAGCATCGTAAAAAGGTAGTGTTAGTGTGGAGAGTAGTCCCACACCTTTCCGTTTAGGATTATAATCAGTGTTGCCTTCTCTAAACAGAACTCTCTGAAATGCATATACGATCCAAAGTCCTGATGACCATGGACCCGATGGCGAATCATTCTGGGCCTCATGATGGGTTTCTACCGTTATCATAACTTCTGAAGCTTAAGCACGCCACCGTAATTGAATATTATTTCATTCTTTAATCGCTGTCTATCCCATGCCGTAGATACGTCGATATCAAATGTTGGACGGTATTCAAAATATTAATAAATGAGGACGGTTGAACATAAAAAATTAAGAAAGTGGAGCAAAAGACAGGGGAAACGCCCTACCGACAAAGTATTGGTCAGCATATATGTATATGTATCTATGTAAATTTTTTTCCTATTACGGGGGTTGCTTAGGTGGTGCATTATTTGACTCATATTTGAATTCATACTAGTCATTAATTATTCATCATTCGGGTAGAAAAATGAGTATCACTACCTCTGAAGGAAGCAGAATATATCAGGCTGTAATAGTCATCTACCTATAAACTTGGCCCTCAAAAAAAAACTCTACTCATCGCTGATTATAGCAGATAATGGAGATCAGCGACGCAATATAGGTTCCATGAAAATTAAGCGTTCGATTCCCTACAGGGCAGATATCCCATCCGTTGCAAACTTACTTTTTGATGCTTCACTTACTACAACTTTGCCTTCAAGACAGAAACATGTGAAAAGTCTTTTAGCAGCATTTTAATCGACAGCTTTTGTTTCAGTGGTAAATAGTCATAAAAGAAGACATCATGTGATTTTTTCTTCGCCCTGACATGCAATGCATACTTCAGTCATTACTCGCTTTCTAGGATATAAACTCGAGGTTGAACTCATATAGGATATCGAAGACTCAGCTTGATTCCTCGTCACGTACTTAACAAATTGATTCTGTTGTTTGATGCCATGATTTTGGATGCAACAGTCGCAAAGTAAAACTTTATCACCGTATTTTCGACCGTGCAACAGGTGTCTTCCCTAAAGTTAAA